TGAACTGGATATCGCCAAGAGACCGGAGATGTTTCATGTGACATAGGTGCTGCTATTCTGTCCCCTCAGACGGCGGGATTTTTCATTTACACATCGTGTGTGCGTGTCCTGGTGCGCGCGTGCACGCGTATTTGCGTCTACACATACATACACTATACATGTATAACTAGTTCCACACGCATGTACTCTTGAGTAACGAATGTATATACATATATACATATATATATATATATATATATATGTGGACATTTCTAGTGGGAATATTTACAATACTATCCTCTTTTCTCAATCGTCATCAATTGTTAAAAAGATGGTGAACATCGTTAAAGCAGCCAACCATGTGAGAGATTATTCATATCGTGTCTTATTGGTGTGTGTTTTCCCAAATGCGCTTGCTTCCCCAGTAGATTTAATTAATGTAGAGATGTGCGTGGGCTAATCTCCGGAGATTATAAATTATTTTACGTCCGAGCTATCGAATGAACTAATTAACTCTCAAGCAACTTGTGATGAAGATGATGATCGAGATGAATTACCTTCTAGCTTGCTTCACGATGTACACGCGCCAGCAGTGATAATAACTCGTTGATGACAGGAAGGCGAATGAATGAGAGAACGACGGAGAGAGGGAAATGAGGAAGGGAAAGGCGAATGAAGAAGAGAACGACGGAGATAGGAAAATGAAGAGGGGAACCGCACTGGCGGCAGTGGTAACAAATGTGCGGAGGATGGAAAAAAGAAACGTTTTAAACGACGTCGGGAACGAACTATGTAGATAGCGACGAATTTGAGATGTATGTATATCGATCCGTACTAGCGTGCTCAATGACGACGCCTCAACGCGAAAAAACACAGCGGGTGCATGCCTAAGTGGAAGAGAAAGGAGGCGAAGGGAAAGAATACTTGATCACTTGTTCCGCATTGTTCGATAACCAATGGCCCGTAACAAATACAGTGTAACCAATGCGATCGATACGAGGTGGCATTGAGATTGATTTCGGTAACTGCGCAATTATTAATTCCTTTTGAGCGTCGATACCGTCATTAATTTGAACAGCTGTAACTGGTTGTTTGATTAGCCAGGAAGCGGTAGCGCTATATCGGCATCGAAACCGCGTCTCTCTGTAATGTAGCCAATTATTACCTGGCGTGCGTGGTTTGCGCTGCATGGGGAACTTGCTGCTGGTGCTCTAAAGACGCTGCGCGGGGCCTTAATTGGAAAGATCGATAAATGCATGCGCTGCGCGAAGAGATTTTGCTCGTAAAACGACAATGCCCTTAAGGTTCCGAAATCATTCGCTTCTGGCGCACCGACGGGCGCGTTTGTTCTCAAGCGGCCATTGAACACGTTGACGCCTATACTGTTAGATTTTTGTGACAAAAATACACTTGCTGCGAGTCGAACGCGCGTGATCAGCCGCGGTGTGCTTATGAACACGCGTGGAAATGACGCGGCGCTTTATGTATTAAAGATTTTATATTCACTAAAGATGTCGCGGTAGGAGATAACCGCGTGCTGAAGTAACCGGCGAGCGTTAGATATCTCTCGCCGTGATATATCTCGCATCTATCTCATCTACGCGGCAGAAGACATCATCGTCACCCCTTGACCGTGTCGCTTGACGCCGTGATACTGCGAGCGTAGGATGAGCTCTCGCCGGGCCGCACATCTACCTTGAACTTAACTACGCGATTGAACACATCATCGGTGAGCATTTCGCTGGACGCCGGGTTACGGCGAGCGTAAAATATCTCTCGCAGCGCCACACCGATATACCCTTGGCTTTCTGGGAGAACTACACCCGCGAGAAAATTACCAACCGTGAGCATGTTGCTGGAGTTACCACAAGCGTAAGATATCTCTCACCGCGCTAAATCGCTACCCTAAACCTTGGTTTTCTTGAAGAACTACACCCGATAGAATACACCAACCGTAAGCATGTCTCTAGGCGCCGTCTTTCCCTACTCGGTGAGCTCGCTGAGAGAACGCGTGAGGGCCATCACCGACAAGACGCAGGAGGTCGTTCACAAGTCGGCGCAACTCGGCCACGACGCTGCGACGAAGATCGGCCAGGAAGCCGAGACGCGACTCGACCAAGTCGGCGGCTTTATCACGCACCAGTACGAGAAGCACACGACAGCTGCAAGCGGGGACTACTCTCACCTCGTCTCGCGGAAGACGCGTCCGCAGTTGGTGCGCATCAGTGCCGCAGTGTGCGGCATCGAGTTCTGCTACGCCGCCGAGACGGCCTTCGTCAGTCCGATCCTACTGCAAATCGGTGTTCCCGTGCTCTACATGACGCTCATCTGGTGCCTCAGTCCGCTGCTTGGCTTCTTCCTCGTGCCGCTGCTCGGATCCTGCAGCGATAGGTGTCGCTGGAGGATCGGTCGCCGACGACCCTTCATCATGTTGTTGTCGGTCGGTATTCTCGTCGGGCTTGTGCTGGTGCCGAACGGTACGCGGATAGGAGAGCTACTCGGCGACGACGTCGACGGACTATCACGCGTCATCGACGAGGTCAACTCGACGGAACCGCTGAGAGGTAGCAAGGAGGAGGTCCGATGGGGGACCCCGAAGGAAGAGTCCGCGTGGAAAAACAAGGAGGTCGCGTGGGTAAGCAAGAAGGATGGCGTCGGGTGGAAGAACAGGGAGGAAGGGATTAGGTGGAAGAACGAGGATGAGGATATTGGGTGGGAAAACAAGAAGGAGGGAAATGAGGGGGAGAAGCAGGAGGAGGAGGAGGAGGAGGAGGAGGAGGATGGATGGGATCCGTCGACCTCAGCGTACGATTCCGCTAACGGCAGCGCGAACGCCAACAACGACGACAGCGACACACCAGCCGGCAAACCCGACCATCGCTGGGGCATCGTCTTTACCATCCTCGGTGTCATCCTACTCGACTTCGACTCCGACGCGAATCAGTCGCCATGTCGCGCTTACCTACTCGACGTCACCGTGCCCGAAGACCACTCGGCCGGTCTGAGTACATTCACGATCATGGCCGGCCTGGGTGGCTCCCTCGGTTACGTGATGGGCGGGGTGAACTGGGAAGCGACGAAGCTCGGTGAAGCTCTCGGCGGTCACGTGCACGCGGTCTTCACCATCGTCCTCATATTATATCTGATATGCGTCACGCTGACGCTTACCAGCTACAAGGAGATCCCGCTGGACGAGCTGGACGTTGGCGTCGAAGTCTTTCAGGATCGCAAAAAGCGAAAAGGAAACGCGAAATACACGAAGTTTACGAACGACGACGACGACGAAGACGATGTCGGTTACGGCGATCGGCGCGCTACTGACATTTTCGCGCCCGGCGAAGTTCACCGCGACGAAAAAACACAAGAAAGCGTTAAAGATGTGAATCTAGCGATAGATAACTCGTATAGAGACGCCAATGAGGGAGATGCGGTTGGTAACGAGACTCGAGAACAGGTCACTTCTTCGTCGAAGCGTCCAACCGCCGCAGACGATCAGAGTCAGGAGCACGTTAGCATGAAAACCTACCTGCGTTCGATCGTCTTTATGCCGCATTCGCTACGAATTTTGTGCTTAACGAATCTGTTCTCTTGGATGTCGTTGGTCTGCTATTCGCTCTACTTCACGGATTTTGTCGGCCAGGCCGTTTACGGCGGCGACCCGACGGCGCCGAAGAATTCCGAAAAGCATCAGATATACGAAGACGGAGTCCGCATGGGCTGCTGGGGAATGGCGCTGTATTCGATATCGTGCTCGGTGTATTCGTTTGCAATCGAAAGACTAGTGAAGCGATACGGTGAGTAGATTTATGTGTGTCTTAATTATTACAATTCGGCTTTCAGGTAGTGCAGTTGTTACCTCACAGTCGGGTGTCATTAGGTACGTCGGCTGAAACGTGAAGGCACGCCGCACACGTTTACGCATATTACTCGCTCACACGTCCCACACACACACCACGCACACACTCACACACGCACACGCGCGCACACATACATATATATCAAGAGCTCATAATAGAGAGCTCTCTATTATGAGCTCTTGATACATACACACCGCACACGCACATACACACTCACACGTACGCACAGGCACACGCACACGCACACGCACATACAGATACACATATATCACCACACACGCACACACATGCACACACATAATCATACGAACACGCCCACACATGCACACACATAATCATATGAACACGCACACCGACACCCGCACACATCACGAGTTAATAAAGACAAACAATTTCTCCTGCACACATGCATACTCACGGACATATGCGCGCGTACCCAAACGTCCACATACACACGCGCGCACGCACACCTGCATATACCTACGTCGACATTATCAAGAGCTAATAAGTACCGGTGTTTATTAGCTCTTGACATTAATGGTTCATGTTGTACACATACTCCCTGAATGCCCGCTGGAATTATGCCAATTTACAATGCAAAAGAAACACGAGTTTCGAGCTGAATGATTCCTTATTCAATGCACAATTCTGTCTTAAAACATCCTATCAAAAATTCTGAGCGCAAGACGCGTTATCGCACTGAGGTATAGCCACGTGAAAATTATGGATTTAATGTAAATGAATTCAGGATTATTTAAAAAATCCATTTATTGAAATTATATTCACCTTTCTCATGCTGATGTTTTGGTAGTAGAAAATAGCGTTATCTATTATCTAATATATAATATCTAATATATAATATATAATATCTAATATCTAGTATCTAATATCTAATATCTAATATCTAATATCTAATATCTAATATCTAATATCAAATATCAAATATCTAATATCTAATATCTAATATCTAATATCTAATATCTAATATCTAATATCTAATATCAAATATCTAATATCTAATATCTAATATCTAATATCTAATATCTAATAATTAATATCTAATTTATCCATAATGTTATATATATATATATAAAAGTAAGCGCAGTTTACCTTTGATGATTTCACTGTTAACTCAAATGTGGTGCAAATTTTTCAAGACCTACAGTATCTATTGAATCTACCAGTATGCTGTATCCATTGTGTAAGGCATGCGGCCCTTTAATGAAATTTTAATGAGTCATCATTTCACGCGATCCAGTAAATGATATTTAATTAAATACTATATCTATCTGTGTGTGTCGAGCGCAAGGCTTGCCTACGAGGGATCTAACTTCTGTATGCATAAAATCATTCTGTAGGTGGAACGGTTCTCCGCAGTTTTACGCCAAAATAGTTATGTCGTGTATGTGAATTGAGGATGTAGGACCCGATATCACCCACATGCTACTCCAGACGACGTAGAATATTAAGTGCCGTAGCTTCCGTCTGAAACGAGCCACAGCGTGTGGTGGATATCGGCGTGAGAGCGAACGATGAGGTGCGTGCGTGCGCGTGAGCGTGCGCGTGCCCGTGTGTGTGTTTGTGTTTGCGCGCACACGTCTTATCCCGGCGATGCATAGATTACTAGTTATTCTGCTGGATCGCTAATAACACAGTGATGCTACGTAAAAAAACAACAACAGGAAAACAATGGATGTCGCCCGGTTTGTTTGGTGATTTTGAATTTGAAAAGATGAATGCTACTTAAATTTAGATAACGTTATTGAACGTTGTATGGAGATTTACCGAGGAACAAAAGATGGCGCCAGACTATCATGAGCAGAATCACGAACACCACACGATTCAAAACACGCAAGGATATCATTATGACCTAGCCATCAGAAAGCAATGAACAATTAGCTCAATAATTACTGTATTTAGGCACATGTTTTGGTTTGACAACGTTTAACTCTCATTTCATATACTCCTGTACCAGTTGAGAGGTGAAACAAATTTAGTTATGCCGGCGCGTGCCCTACGTTCTAAACGACACTGCCAAATTAACCGAGTGTCAACAGCAAGCGGGACTTTGCTCAACAGAAATACTGATGTATACTTTCCGGTAAAAAAATCATCGATCTCTCATCATGGAATTCTGCGGGCAGCTGTTTCGCATGCGACTATAATATTATAGACCTATTTTCAAGTTACCGTGTACAGATAAACATCTTCAAGTTGCGTCTTGCTGAATTCATTCGAGGATGCCTGCCTCTTCTTTCAGGAGCGAAGCGTGTTTACATTATCGGACAGCTCGTTTACACGACGGGCGCCATTATCATGGCGGCGACACGAAACAAAGTGGTCGTCGTGCTGCTGTCTGCTACCGCTGGCGTCATGTACGCCACACTGTTCACGATGCCGTATCTACTGGTCGCTCATTACCACTGCAACGAAGTGGTGAGTATACTCATTCGCAAGCCAAAACGCGAGAAACGTCTCGAGTTTCTCCGTTGGGAATAAGGATTCCAGATTAGATGTCAAAACGCAAAAAACGTCTGAGTTTTCTCGTAGAGAGATTAAGGATCCCCCTTAGATGAAATAACGTAGTATAAATTGCAATTATAAATGTGCCTCAGTATAATGTTGTGTACAGTGCTCTTTATCCACTTCGTGATATTAGAATTAAAGTAATATGAAAGTAAAGAAGCCGGGACGCGAAAATGTGGAATTAAAGATGATTACAGAAGTGGGTGGTCAAATTAAAACATAATATCTGCTATTAGAGCGTCTGATACACAAAGCTAGGCGTCTAGCTCGGTTAGCGAAGCTTTTTTAGCGGTTTTGTAAAAATACGCGCGAGCGTGTTTTATCTTACATGAGCGCGATAATAGAATTCTCACGCGTCGCGACATTGGAGCGCAGTAGGCGAGAGCTCTCTCTCTCTCTCTCTCTCTCTCTCTCTCTCTCTCTCTCTCTCTCTCTCTCTCTCTCTCTCTCT